TTTTAATTTCCACCAAATAGGTGCAAAATCACAATAAAGTGGAATTTCGATAATATGTTAATTTTAAAAATTCTCCGACGATTGTATGCTAATCGAATTTACAAATTGCTTATGTCATCTCAAAACTTATTTCGAGAACTACATTATGAGAATATCGAATAATCCAAACAGATATCGAAAATAGTTAAAAATACGTTAAACGTGAGTCTTAAAGAAAGACGTCTAACTACATTTTTTTTAAAAAAAAAATTCAATTATTTCATTAACATTTATTATTTTTGCGATACAAATTTCTCAGTGTAATTTTTATTATTTTATTAGGAAATTTTATATGGAATATAACAAAATTTTACATTCGAAAAATTTATATCCCATGTAAATTTTCGAATGCAAATTACACGTGGTATGATTTTTTTGAACGTAAATTTTCGATTGTAAAATTTCTCCCAACTTTTTTGCAAATTGGATTGTGTCTCCCTAACTTTAATGCTCTGCGTCCGCCCCTGCCTCTGGCCATGCCGGAACACCAGGTCATCGAGCTCCAACACCACCTCATGCAAGCGATGGAGCTTATACCACACGTGCCACTTTTTCAATTATTTTTAGTTTGGTTGTTTCTGCTTCATCATTCTTTAATGTCTTAGCCTAAGCTTAAGAGTTCTTTAATGTATTAGTCAATTTTGTCAATAATAATTTTTGGTTCTACGAATTTTGTAATTTTTTTTCATTTTAGAGCAAAGATAAACCAACAGTACCACGTTCATCAAGAAATTAAAAAACAAAATCACAATCCAGTATCGATTCGACGTGTAAAAGTTGTTTTTCTAAGCATTTTTGGTTCATTTTAAATTCGCTATTTTAGATAGTGAGCTTCTCTAAGAGTCCAATTCTATAAAGTAAGTTAAAGAAGTAACTTCAAGAATCAAGTACAGAAAAATAGTAAATGAATCACTACTTTACAATAAACTGGCTTGTAATGCTGGGATGGGTGGAACCACGTTGCATTATTTTGGCAAGTTGGACATTCCAAATTAACTAAGTCGATATCGGGTAATTTATAATCACTCTGACTACTTCATTCTACTCACGAAATATCTTTCGAATTAAAAGTGTACAATTTATTAACAAGTAATAAAATGGATTTGAATGCAAGCATTGTCCTACAAAAATTGATTTAGTTCAATTTTAATTATCACGACCGTAACCGAAATATGAATATATGATATGTTTGTTTGTAAAAAAATTATGACTAAAATAATCTACTTATGGAATTATGAATAAATTAATTAAACTAAATACAAATTATACTAAATGCAAATTGATGTGTTTAATAAATGACAAACACATTGGGATCCCAAATTCCCATATGATAATCATTTTTAACATTAGTTCTACACTTTGACAATATGATTGAATTATGATTAATAAATGTTCCTATTTTATTTAACAAGTGATATCTTTCTATCACATATCGGACCCTATGACAATTTACACCACATCGAACATATTTCCTTTCTTTCTAATGTATAAAATAGGCCACCACATTCACACAATTATCATGCACAATAATCGTGGAAAAAAGAAAATAATATAAATCATTCAATATTCAAAAAAGTGTTTTCAATGTCAAGTAGGTAAAATTAAAGATTAAAAATTCATATACACGGTTCATCGTTCTCCTAACACAAAGAAAACTAGTTTAGCATATTATGAAGAAGAAAACAAAATAAATATTTAAAAATCGACATCACCCAAATAAAGTTTGAATTGAATCTTCTAGTCTTGGAATCGATTTTTGTATTTCTTGCCTCCTTCTATGCTCCAAAATACGTTAGAACGTGTCTCTCTTTCATTATGGACAGCCCTAGATTTTAAAAAATATTCCCAATATTGTTTCCATAAGAATTTTATTCAAATAAGGAAATCGAAATTTTTTCTCCGGAAATGTACTTGCTATAGCACAGTACAATCTCATGTTATAGCATAGTTCAATGAATTTCAACATGGAATTCCCTGAATCATGCCATGCGACCGCATGGAGAGAATAACTATGCTATAGCATAGTTCAAGTAAAATTTCATTCTTTGCATTTTGATCCCTAAACTCCGTTTTCTCATTTTTCGTCCTCTTTTCTCACTTCTTCTCGATCTTCAACTCTTTCACATCTTTGTTTCTTCTTCTAGATCATCTTTTAGGCTATTACACTTTCGTGAACTTTGATTTTCATCAATTTTAGTCATTTTTCGCTTGTTTATCCTAAATTCCACCATGTCCATCAATGTTATTTTACAAAACATAATTTATATAGAATTAAACCACATTCAAATATATGTACCAACAATTATCCATATTTTGTGGCCTAAATAAGTGTATAAAATGCACTTATCAGATTCTATCTTTTTTTTACAAGTATTATTAAGGTAATATACAATACAATAGCTCCAATTGAGAATATGTAACAAATTTATCATCAATCATTTTTAGTGTGAAAATCATGCAATTAAATAGCATAGCTCGTCCTTCAATCCAATTTAGCCATTAAATGATGAAGTTGCCTTCTATAAAGTAAACAAAAATAAAAGAAATCAATAAAACAACAAAAATAAGAGAAAATTGCAAAGAGAGTCTCATAACTTTTCAAAGAGTACAAATAAATCTCACTCGAAATAATTAAATATATTAACTCACAAAAAAAAAAAATTTTAGAAAAAAATAAACATTTCATCTTCTCCCGTCAAGCTCACCCACCCCAACCAATAAATGTTAATTTTTTTAATTCACATATTCTAATCCAAGGCAAAGTCACTAGAATTCTGAAATTTTTTTGTGCGTTAATATGTATTTAGTTGTTTTAAGTGAAATTTATTTGTACTTTTGAAAAGTTATTGGACTCTCTTTGTAGTTTTCTCTTATTTTTGTTGATTTATTGTGTACTTTCATTTTTTATTTAAAAGGGAAGTGGAGGGAATGACGATTTTTTCCTGTATAATTGAAAGGTTGTGATGGATTATACCGAAAAAAAAAAAAGTTGATAATAGATTTAGTAAATTTATCAAATGTTACGGACAAAACTGCAAATTTCTCTGGAATATAAATAGCAAAATTAAGATATTAAACTGAGAAATCATTGATATGATCGTCCACCATAAACCGGAGTGAATTCCACTTGTACCATTATTTCTTATCAATATCTATGCCACTTTAACCAGTAAAAGACGAGGAAACATCAATTTCATGTCTTTAAAGCTTATTCCTAACATAAAATAACGCATTCTTGCCTAATTTATAACACAAAAATGGCTTGTTTAATATTGTTGGATTAAACTCAATTAGGGCATTCTTAAAAAAAAAAAAAAAAAAAAAACTAAATTTGTCTGAATGTGATATCCAATCATATCATCCAACTTGACAAATATATTTGCAACACCTCTACTTATTTAGTAGGAATACCCCAAACTCTCATACGGCATGATCTTTTGCAACTTCGATCCTCGTGTTCTAGTCTCACTACCACAAGCTCTCATAGGACACGATCTTTTGAAACTTCGATCCTCATGTTCTAGTCCTATATAAATATTATGTAAGCCTCGTTTTGTGCTCAATAAATATCCCCGGTTGGTTTGAATATTCATCCTGTAGTTCCTAGGATATGTTAAGTCAAACAAATGTTGTATTTTGATCTAGTTCGTTATATATTTTATTATTCTCATTATCTATCAAGATTTACACGAAAAGGGATATTATGCCTTTTTTTTCCCAATTATAATCGAATAATATTTTGTAGTAATAAGCATTTTTCATTAATTAATTCATTCTTTTCTGTTTTATTTTCTATACAAGTGCTATCCAGAAAGGAAATCCCAAGCAAGAATCTTATCAC